ACATATGAATCAAGATGCTATGACTGAAAAAATTTGATTGACAGATGACCGTTGTTATATGTTGGCTGAATTTAGGTTTTCAGGCTGACCTATAACTAACTGGCCTGAATAAGATAATGAAAAAAAATACAGATTTTAGGACAAATTTTCTAAATTTTGGAACATTATCGACTGATAAAGCGTACATATATATACATTTTTAAGCCAGAATGATCTGACATTTAAATATGATTTCCCTACGACTTTAATATATTTGAATCCCAAAACCCGTTTTTTATTTCATGCTTTTCTGGGTCCCCATGGAAAGCTGGTCTCCTCTGGTCTAGGACCGCCACTGCCCATATCCCTAATATTGGCTCCATCATAAAACCTGCTCTGGTAGCAAACCGGAGCGCGCGCGCACTGACCTTTCTTGAACTCCTCCAGCATGGCGTCCAGCTTGGTGTCGTGGAACACAAAGTGCACCGGGTGGTTGTAGAACTTGGTGATGGTCTTCAGGTTGGTGCAGTCGTCCGGGTCCACGAACGCCAGGTCCTTGACGTACAGGATGTCCACGATGTTGGACCTCTCCTCGTCGAACACGGGGATGCGCGTGTAGCCGCTCTCCATGATCTCCGACATGGTGTTAAAGTCCAGCACGGCGTCCGCCTGGATCATGAAGCAGTTGGCCAGCGGGGTCATCACGTCCTCCACCGTCTTGTTGCGGAGCTCCAGGGCTCCCTGGATCATGTTCAGCTCCTCCTTGTCCAGGTCGTTGTAGGGCTCCGTGACCCGCAGCATCCCCACCAGCTTCTCCCGGTTGTACACGGTGCCGATCTCCTGACCCAGCAGGACGTCCAGCAGCTTGCTGACCGGGAAGGAGAGCGGGAAGGTGAGGAGCATGAAGAGCTTGGTGACCATGATGGTGTTGGCTCCCACCGCCAGTCCGTGGCGGGAGCACAGCGCCTGAGGGACGATCTCCCCGAAGATAACGATGCCGATGGTGGAGGCTACCACCGCGCCCAGGCCGGAGCCGATCAGGTCATCCAGGAGGATGGTGAGGGTGGTGTTGACCAGGACGTTTCCGAGCAGCAGGGAGCAGAGCAGGTAGTTCCCCTTACTGCGGATAGGCTCGATCTTCCTGGCGTATTTCTTCTCCTTGTCGGTGCCGCAGCTCTGGACGATGCGCAGCTCCATGGGGTCCAGCGCCATGAGCCCGAGGTTCAAGCCGCTGAACATCCCGGAGAGCACCAGCAGGCAGGAGATCAGGATCACCTGCAGCCACATGGGCAGCAGGGACTTCTTCTCCTCCACCACCAGCACCCTGCCGTCGTTCTCCCCCAGCATCAGCCACCTGGAGCCATCCTGGCTCAGCGTGCACAGCGCGTACTCCTTCTGCGGCTCGCTTTTACGCAGCGGCTTAACGCGCACGCTGAGCAGCCCGGAGGTTCCCCGGCTGGACACGTTCATGTAGCTCCCGACTTTGATGTCCTTTGTAAAGTCCACACATGTCCGCTCCGGCGTGTCCATCATGCCGCTGCCTCCCCTGGCCGCGGAGACCGCCTCCTCCTGCTCCTCCTCCTCCTCTTCCTCCCCGCCGCTCTCCGGTACCTCCGTGAAGCGGATCTGCGTCCAGGCGCCCGAGTGGAGCTGCACCCCGTAGAACCGGAGCAGGACGGTGCTCTCCTCGGTCACCTGGATGACACCGTCGTCATTGGTGCTGGACGGCTTGTCGCTCCTCTCCACCCGCATGCCGAGCACCTGGCTCCCGCCGCTGACCCGGGCGGATCCAGCCGCCGCTGCGGTCTCCGTCCGGCCGCCCACCGCGCTCCACAGGCAGATAATGACGGTGAGAGCGTAACCCTGCTGGCCGCTCCATTCTGTCGCCATGTTTGTTTCTCTGCTCGGCGACCTGGGAGCTGACGTCATTTACTCATGTTGGAGAGGCTCCGCCCCCCTCCGGCCCCCCATCTAACAACACACACACACACACACCGGACAGCGCCAGGTTTGACTGGTAAACAGCCACTGATGCTCTGCGGTGCGCCCCACGCTGCCACCGGTTAGTCACTCATTTGAAGCGTGAGCCAGCTGCTGTTACATAAAGACCAATGGCATCTGTAACCACCCATCCCCCCCCACCGCATCATCCCGCATCCCTCTGGCACCGAGCCCGCACCAGGATGCTGGATGCGGACATATCAGAGCAGCACAGGCGCGCTCCCTCCACACAGCTTTCATCATATCTCTGTTACATAACCAGGCTGCATCAGGAGGAATGCAGACACAATCAAAGTAATAATAACAAAAAACTAAATTTACAAATATGTTTATTAATTAATTTAAAACTGTTGGGTTACCATTAGTTTATCTCCATGGCTGCCTTCCAAAAGCGTTTAGATGATTGTCAGTTGTTTTGATTGTTGTATTTATTATTAGTTCCTAATATGCAATAAGGCCAATAACATGTTTTGTTGTCCTAAAGCGACACCTGCTGGACAAAGGTGGTATCAGGGAGTTTGATGGTCCAGGATTTCTGTTTAAGTTTATTTTGCATCTTCTACGGAAGAGGATTAGGGCCACTGAAAAAAAAAAAAAAAAAAAGTAAACTGATTTTTAAATTTTATTTCAGTTTAACATGGGAAATTAAAGCGGGAATTCTGACTTTTTTCTCAGAATTCTGAGATTAAAGTCAGAATTCTGACTTTTTTCTCAGAATTCTGACTTTAATCTCAGAATTCTGACTTTAATCTCAGAATTCTGACTTTTTTCTCAGAATTCTGACTTTTTTCCCATGTTAAACTGAAATAAAATTAAAAAATCGGTTAACTTTTTTTTTTTTCCAGTGGCCCTAATCCTCTTCCGTAATCTTCAGTGGCGGAGCTAGATTCTTTTTCTTTTTGGTGTGGGGGGACCAGGCTAATAATGGTGTTCCTTTCCTAAAATAATTGCTATTGTTTAAGGTAAATTTTTTCTAGAATAGTGTTGCAAGCAAAGAACGTGTTTTGTAAACAGATATTTGAAGGAAAAGAAATTCACAGTTCAGAAATGGATCTTTTAAATTGTTGAATCAATAAAATGTTTTAAAAGTCATTTTTTATTCTATTATTAATAATTTTTAATTGTATTTATTTTTTCTAAAATTTTACTTTTTCTTGATAATTTTTTAAGCAAGAGGCATGTTTTGTAAATGGATATGAAACATTTGTTTACTCTTTAAAGTTTTAAAATGTTGTTTTTTTATATTTTACTTTTCAATATTTCCAGTTTTCATTTTTTTAAATTATATGAATGGTATTTTTTGTTTTGTCTCCTTGAACTCCAGTCATCCTCACTAGATGGCCGCTCACACTGAGCCTGGTTCTGTTGGAGGTTCTTCCTGTTAAAATTGAGTTTTTCCTTTCCACTGTCATTACAAGCATGCCTAGTGTGAGGGATTGCCTTCGAGTCAATGAGTCGATGCATCAATTTCCTTAGATAGAAAACTTTAAATCAATCTGACTGGATGATCAGATGAACTTTAACATGAACTCTGAAGTGCCTTGAGATGACATGTTGGGAATTGGTGCTATAGAAATAAACTGAATTTAATTAAATTGAAAAATGTAATCATTTTATATTTTTATTTGGATTTCATAGGTCACATATTTTTCACTTAAAACATGACATTTAGAATATAAAATCTGTTGAAAAACTTTTGAAGAAAAATCATGAAAAATATATATAAAAAAAATATTAACAATCATGTGTAGAATATGCATCACCAGACCCTCTAACCACCGTCAGCATATATATTACAGTAAGCAGATGTCCCCGGCTAAAGCTGTCTCCAGGATTGTCCCGGTTTTACTGTATGATGAATGAGGGGGGAAATGTTGATAGTAGACTGTTGAAGACTACTAGCAACATTCTACATTGTAGTTGACTGTTATTACTATCAGAGATGGTAAGTAACGAAGTACAAATACTTTGTTACTGTACTCAAGTATATTTTTCTGATATTTTTACTTTACTTTACTACTTATTTTATGGCAACTTTTTACTTCTACTCCTTACATTTGTACACAAATATCTGTACTTTCTACTCCTTACATTTTAAAAAAT